GATATTAAATACCATGACAGATAAACTAATACAATAAGTAATTGTGCTACTTTTGATTGTGCTACAAATTTTGAATATTTTTCAAATAGATATGCTATTTCAGTTATAATATGAACAATAACAAATGGTGCAACATTAATTGATATTAATATAATCATTTGTGTATCTAAACGAGAACGTCGTCGACGTGAATTTGTTGAATAATTCGTTAGACGATTTCGATTATTTATTCTTTGATGATAATTTGTATTATTTGTTGTCGCTGTTGTGGCTGCTGTGGTTGTTGTTGATGGTGAACTAATAAATGAACTTGATATATGAGTTGTTACAATTGTCGAATTTATATTCACATCAGATGTTGAATTACAACGAACAATTGTATGTAATTTCAAAGGTGGTGAAATATTATTATTCATCTGATTTTGTTGTTGATTTGATTTATGAAAACGTTTTTTTAATTGTATTGTTATTGAACATGTACGACTTATAGATATAAGAATAATTGTAATTGGTATTATCATATAAATAGTTATATATATAGTATGAATAAATATTTCACAAATGAGATTATTTTGTTCACATTTGTCATTAAAACATAAAAATGTATAAATTATATTTTGTAGAAGACTTGAAATAAATGCTATTAAACACAGATAAATAAATCTTTCTCTTGTACATAATGTTTGACTTTTTGTTGGCCATTCAACTTTAATCCAACGATCAACAGAAATAAAAACAAGTATCCATGAAAATCCAAAATAAAGTTCATAATTAAAACTAAAACATAAAAAACAAGATCAATCTAATCAATTTGATGTTGAAAAAAAAAAGCATCAGTTCAACATACATTGTAAAGAATCGACACCAATGTATAGATATTGTATAAACATTGATATGATAGATAACATCAAAAAAATATTGTAAACTAGCAATTAAATTAAATATATCAACAAAAGCCATAACAAAAAATAAAAAACCGGTGGAATGCTGACGAAGTTTCTTTGAACTAAATGTTACAATTGATAAAAGACAACCGGTATAACCAAATAGATAAAGAATAACACAAATAAATGCAATAAGTATACGTAAACTAGGAATGTGAACATGAATAAGTGCTGCTGTTGTTGTATTATTCATTCCAAAATTCATTGTCAATACAAAATAGAAGTAAATATATACAAACAGATTTTTTTTTGACTACTTTACTTGAAAGAAGAACTATGTGGAAAATATAAAAAGCGAAGTGAGATCAACAGAAAGAGAAAAAGAGAAAGAAAAGAAGAAGAAACGGAAGTTTTCAGTAAGGAAAAGAGTCGACAGATATTCACCCTCTTTCTTCTGCATCAACCATCTTTTTCATAGGTGTGGACGAAAGCCAAGAAAGGCAAGCCATCAAATAATTTTTTCCACTCACAATCGAACTTTTCAAAACTTTTATCTTCCGTCCTCTTAAGTTTGAAGAGCTAACGTAACATGAAAGAGAATGTCAACATGAAATTAAAGCATGCTATGGATCATTGCATGATCAATTCATTACGAATTCGTGAATAGAATGTGATATATAAGTATATGGAATGCATGTGTCATATTGCTTTAGTTCAAGATTCTTCTTTCTTTTTGAGCTTTGAGTAGAAAATAAAATAATGCAAGTAGACACGCGATTTGCATGGCAATAAGTGCGGCAAGGAAAAAAGCATGTACGCATATCAATATATGGAAAACATATACAAACATTTATCCATAACAATCATGTGTATAAATGCCTTGACTAAAAGCAATTTTATGTTTTAAATATGTTCTTATATTACCCAAACTAGAAATGAAAAATTATGTTTCATTTAGTTAATGTTTTCCTGTTTATATTATTTTAAAATATTCTACATGGATCATTGAGATACATTTGAGATCGAAATAAGACATCTAGGTAGTTTAGATTAGAATGCATGATGCGTACTCATTTTTATACTAATTAAATTAGGTCACTTGAATACATCGAGTCTTTGTCCAATAATACGCACGAAATCGATTCTTACTTCCTTTTCTTTTGATGTTTTGTTTTCAAGTTAGGTTTCTTGTTTTAATTATTAAATAGTTCATTCAATCATTTATTCTCGATCGGCATGCATTTATTTTCTACTTTTTCATCGAATATTCAATGAAAATATTTCTTACCTTGGCCGTTAAGAAAAAAAAAGAAACGTTACTGTCAAGGCATAAATATATATTCACCAAATTACAAATAAAAACTAATAAATATGTCCTCAAAATTTCACAATTCTCTTCTGATTCAAATATATATATAGTTACTACTAAATGTTTTATTTAAATTATAACAGTGACTGATTCACACAGACTTTTGATGTACTAACATCTACCTTTGTATTGATGTAATTTATTATTATTGTTGCTGTCGACATATGTTTGTGATTGTTATTTATTGCCTAAAGGTATAATCAACCGAAGAATTAGTTGATAAAAAAAGACAAATGATGACTACTATATGAATATTGTAATAAAAATTTTTTGACAACATAAGTTTCCTATATAGTGAGCAAAGCATTGCCATAAGCAGCTGTTTACTTGAGGAATGGAAATAGATTAGCATTGTTTATGGTAAAGAAAAGAAAGATTGACAGCTATTTTCGACCTTTTGATATTAAATGTCCTTAGGGTATATTAATATCTATCTTTTTCTCTCAATAATGATATATAGAGCAAGAAGAAAGATTAGTATTTCAAAAATGGCGCGTTTCAAATAATAAGTTTTTTTTTATAATAATTTTAAAAAATAGGTCATTATCAATAAGATAAAGATTTGAAAAGCAAAAACTTGATATTTATTTTTCATGTATTGTTTACTAATGAATAAAAGATTATTATTTTTTCTTTTTTGTTCTTTTTTCTTTCTTCGGAAACGTTTTCTTCTTACACACACGCTTCCGTAATTACTGTTATTTGTTATATAATTACCAATTTATATATATATATATAGAGAGAGAGAGAGAGAATTTTAACAATTCATCAAATGTATTTCTCTTGTAATATATATGTGAATTAAACAAGAAACGTTGAGAAAACAGCTGAATCTGTTTTTATAAGAAAAAAATAGAGAAATTATTTTACTAGTCTTTTCATAAAAGTAATGCCTATACTAACGGCATCTTCAAATATTTTCTATTTAGTCTACAAACTTTGCAACTATTTTTAGTGAAATAGTATTGCCTAAATATATAAATTACATTTAATAGAAACTAATTCTAAAACACAACTACTTGAATTACTTCAAGATAATATTATAATTTCAATAATTAATATATTAGAAATCACTTATATGAATATATTA